TTTTTTTTTTTTTCCCTTGATTTGTGTTTATTTATCAGAGTGTTGTATGCAGGTCGTTACTTAATCGATGAATAGACATATTTGTGAGATCCCAGAGTCAATGGTGCGGCAGCCACCGCCGCCTCGACTACCAAAGGCTACCAGCAAAGAAGAAGGGAGCGCTCAGGTTGCACCCTTCAAATTCCTGCTTCCACGACGAGATGACCAGGTTAGGTTAGGTTAGGTTAGGTTACATATATCTATAATCATAATCTCTTTTGAAATATTAATTTGTACTTTAACAAGTATTTTGCAGATGTTTTTAGTTCCAAGTTTCATATTTTCCCCACTATATGCCAATGTTGTTTATCCCTCGAATATGTATGCAGATTATTGGTGGCCGGAGGTGTAGAAGGAAGAAGCCAACTTCAGACATAGACTCTCTACCCGATGAGTTGTTGATGGAAGTTCTTGCTCACATCCCAGGCCAAGATATTTATGGGGCAAGGCTTGTTTGCCGCAAATGGTACAATATCATTCACACCCGTGATTTCATGCGCTTCTACTTACAGCACGCCACTTATGGACTCCTATTCAAAGGTAACAGATTTAGTGCTCCCACAAGGAGGGGTCCGAGTCGAGATTACTAAGTTGAGGTACAAACGCAGGTGCCTTGTCACAAGTAGTTGTAATGGATTGTGGTCAGAGAATCAGCTAAAGGATATGGATAATCTGTATGTCATGAATCCCACAACGGGCCAAGTCGTTCTTCTCCCTCCACGTGTCAAGCGTGTCCAAACTGGATTTCATGCAATTGGGTATGTACCGGCTTCCATGGAGTATAAAGCGGTTATCTTTTGGCCTGAGAGTGCAATATACGAAAAGAGTTGGTGTTATATATTAAACGTTGGAGTTGATAAATCATGGAGGAAAGTTGAATTTGAGTCGACAACGCCATTGGGGTGGCATCAGTTGATGATTTCTGAAGGTTTCATGCATTGGTCTCACTACACTGCCAACCAAGTCTTGACTCTGAATCTGGAGACCGAAACTTTTACAGAGACCCCTGGCCCTAACCCTGTAACTCGAACTGGGAATGTAAACAATATTTACCTGTCGACTGGAAGGTATCTGTCGTTACTGCGTTGTTGTGGGTATAATTCGTGGGAGATTTGGGAGATGAGTCGACCGGAAAGGGGGGAATGGAGAAAGAAGGCTGATTTTTCATTGGAAGCTCACAAGGGAAGATTCGAACAATTAGGTATCCTACATGATAAGTTTTTAATCCCAGTTGGGTGGGTCAAGTATTCAGAATTGTTGGCCCTGATATCTTATGATATGGAGAAGCACTGGGCTTTTGTTTTTTTATACAATCTTGTGACGCAAGAATTAGATAAAATCGAGTTACCTTTGTGCATTCTTGCGTGCAATTTTATGGTGCATAAGAGTAGTTTGGAGTGGTTGGATGCTGCTGTGTAGCCTCCCCTCACCCCCATCATTTCCATTGCTTCACCGGTATTTAACTAATTATGATTGGATTAATTTTCTGAGCTCGGCTCTTGATCCCTGCTATGGAAGAGAAGGTTATGAAATATCCCGTTTTGTAGAAATGGATTTCTAAGATAAAGATTTTAAGTGGATGTGTTCATCTTCTTCAATCCTTCTTATTGCTTTCTTGTTTTTTTTTTTTATTCTTTTTTTTTTTCCATACGATAGAAATTTTATTGAAGAAAAACATATACATACATCTAGAAACGGCTCAAAAGCCGAAGGAACGGCTCAAAAGTCGAATCTAGTGGGAGGACATATCCAAAAAGATCGCTTAGAAGCCCAACTAAAGCAACTCACCCACAAGAAAAACAAAAAAACACCAACACAACAAACTCCACAATTGGAGAAAGACCCCCAATAGGAGACTACACCCTCCCCTACGGGAGAAAATCCCTCCCCGATGGGAGAAAGCGCGCTCGCCCTTTCGGGAGAGAACGCACTTATACCACCTAAAACAATCCCACCAAAACACCAACCCACAAAAAACCATAACAAATCACACAAACAACAAACAACATTAGACAAAAAAGAAAACAACAATACTAGAAACACAAAAAAAACTAAAGTACACAACTAAAGCTACTAATTAGCCCTCCCCACAATGGCTGAACCTCTCCAAGTTACGCAGCGGCAAGCGAAGGATCACCATCCAATTGGACCAAGCTATGGCCCCGGAATTGGACTCAGGAACTGCAACAATCGCCTAGCTAAGTCCAAAGCCAAAGGCCCCAACCCATATCCGAACAGCCATCCAAATCCTAGCCCGGAAACGCACACCGCAACCACCCACCACCGACACCAACGACTAAGCCCAAACCAATGAAGTCTGGATCTCGGTCTGGCCTCGACGATCACCCCTCCAACCAACACTAGGAAGGAGAAGAGCCCGGTGAGAAGCGGCAGGCCCTCCAAGCCCGAATTTCCCCAAAAAAGGGGAAAATTACGGGACCACCACCCAAGACGGAAGGACCACCGGAGGCACGCCACAGCGGAAAGCACCGGGAAATCAGCCACCTACGACCCCATCCTAGCACCAGAATCTACGGCGAACCTGTTCAGGGGACCGGAACCGACTTCTCCAGTGGAGAACAACCCTCCTACCGGCAGTCCTCCAAAAAAGGTCGCAGAATCAGGGCCGCCTTCGCCGAGTATATTAGAGAGTGTCGCTGGGAGAGGCGGCGATTTAGTCTAGCAAAAGCGAGGAAGAAGAGTGAGTTTGGGGAAAAGGGGAAGTTTCGTTCTATGCAAAGTTACAAACATAAGTGTTTTTTTTTTATTCTTTTGAAGTGTGTTTTATGACTAAAAGTGTCAAGTGTGTCAGTTGTTTGCCCAAGTGATTATATTTGTCCGAGTTTTCCTAAGCTAAGATCTCGGCCAATTCCACCGCTAGCGTGCCTAAATTAATCCTATGTAGCTAAGTATCTCGGCTATGTTCCACCAAAGACCAAGCCCCACTAAGCTAAGAAGCTTAATTCTTTTCTTGCCTAGGCCCCCGCAATTTTCCTAAGTAAAATTACCCTAACAAATGACGCTGTTCACGTGCAAATTCCTTCATATTTGTACGTTTGTGAATTTTCAATTGTAAATATAGTAACTTATGATGTTTATGAACGAGTAATTTATAATTTAATTTTATTAAAAAAAATTAAATTGTATTTTATTTATGTATGATTTACTAATAGTTCTGTTTTGGATGATCACATTTTAATAAAAGTTTAAGAAAAATGTAGTAGAAATATAAAATGATCATTATCATTTATATTGAATGCTTCCTATGAATTCATAATCAATTTTATTTTTTCACACTATTTATTATTATTATTATTATTATTATTATTATTATTATTATTATTTTTTTTTTTTTATTATTATTAT